CCTAATTATTCTCCAGGAGAAAAAAAACTAAAATGAAATCCGAAGATGAAACAATACAAAGAACAGACTACAAGACAGAATCGATTAGAAAACAGAGCAAGTGGAAACAGAGATAATAGCTCAAAGTGCAGAAGAGTCAGACCTCTTCGATGAATTTGTTAGGGCAAACTTGAGATTCTTCTCGTGATCCATCCATCGAAAATCATCAACACATCTGTGTGCTCTATTTTGTTTCCTTTTGTTGCTTTTTAGCTTTCCTTTGTCACAACAAATTCAGATTTGCCTCGCTTAGAGAATATGTACTGTAATATGTATATTTTCCTTTAAACAGCAGTTTAGTAGTTTTAGGGTTTGTATTTAGTTGCAATTAGGGCCCATTAAATATTTGATTAGACTTTGGCCCAATTCAATTGTCTAAGCCCAACCCAGAACTCGACCCAGTAATTCTTTACCCGACCCGGAATTATCCGAGGTTGTTCCCGAGAAGGCAAGAGGAGTTTACAATCGATCGATGCTGCTGCTTTTCATCGAACAATTAGGGTTTCGATTCGCACTCTGGAACCAGATTCAATCGGGTAATTTCCTCTTTCCTTCTGTATTTCTAGATTCGAGATCTCTCATCTTTACGTTAATTTTGGATTTGGTGTGTATCTGAATTTTAGGTTTCATGTTAGTTTCTTCTCTGAATTTCTCAGATTTCGATGATAATTGTCTTCAAAGCATGGGAATTTCGTTGTATGTCTTTTTGTAATTTGGTTGAAATAGTTCTCTCTTTTTTGTCCAAAGGATTACATTTTTTTGGGTCCTGTGTTTGATTTTGTTCGTAGGAGAACGTAGTGTTTGCTTCAAGTTATAATCTGGGGTTTATGGTTTTATAAGTCTGAAAACAAAAATTTACTTCTCTCTAATCCGAAAAAAAAATCCATTATGTGAGGCATTGCTTCAATTTCTTTCTTGTTGTTTATTTGTTTTTTAACTGTTTCAGGATGGAGAACACTGACATTGATATGGTAATCAGTGTACCTGACTCTCCAGATAAAGCGGTACGACGTGGTTCTTTATCCAGAGAGATTAAGAGAAGACCGCATTCTCCAGAAGCGCCGGCAAGATATCAAAGAGAAGAATACCGTAATTACCTTAACGGTAGAACCAGACCAGTCCCTGGCGTTGGGGAAAATCGGGAAAGTTCTGATACGCGAACTGAGAACGGGCATCGCTCTCGTGCTTCTGTAGGCAACGCTTTGTTTAGGAGAACGACAGGGGTTGAGAAGGATAGAGGGAAATCCATCTGCACTGATCTAGATCAACGTAATAATGGACATGGTCATGTTACTTCATCGAGAAACTTGCCATCTGAAGATATAAGAGAGCTCCGCACAAGTAATGGTTGTTCTCCTTTACGAGGTGATCATAACTCTTTTAAGCTGCCCGGGATTATTAGTAATAAGGGTAAAGAAAAAGTAGCTTGTGGCTCTGTTTCTAATCGAGAAACAATTGACCTCTCCAGTGAGAAAAAGCCGAAAAGAGGTACGAAAAGACTGGTAAGACATGGCTGCATATCTCCGCATGAGATAGCAGCTAGAGCTAAACAAGCTGCTGATACCAATTCCAAGGATACAGTTTGTGTTGAACCGGAAACAGCTCCTGAAACTGCATCTTCGATTGACATAAGAGAGATTGTTTCTGGAAATGAAGTTCACGGAAGAGCTCGAGGAAAAAGACCAGAAATTCCCCGTAGCAGGTAATAGTTCTTCCTTATTTTTTTCCATTAGATGTTTGAATGGATTTCATAAGGGTGATTCTTTCTTCTTTTCTTTTGTGTGTGTTAAAACCCTCTTTGTATTCTTTGTTTTAATGCAAATAGGACGTCAAGTAGAGATGCAGTTGGCTCAGAGCCAGAGGGATGGATTAGTACGCGTAACCGGAAATCAAATATTGGCCATGAAACGAATCGGAGGGATGAGAGTGACACTCAGGAAATTTGTAGTTCGGTTTCCAGAATTGATGTAGATGAAACAATTGGTGGAGTTGAAAGAGAAGCTAGACAACAACGACGGCGGAAAAATGGATTTACTACTGCAAGGGCTTTAAATGAGCAAGAAGTCTCTGTTATTAGATCTTCTGGGGAACCATCTAGTTCAAGGCCATCAAGAATTCGGAATCATCAAAGGCAAGGCACACAAGTGTTGGAAATTGAAGATTCATCTCCTGATGTACAGGTTTTCCGGGGTCCTAGACGTGTTGAAAACAATGAATCTGATGTGAATGTAAGCCAGATAGAAGCAGATGAGATCTTGGCTCGTGAATTGCAAGAACAGCTGTACCAAGAATCGCCTTTGATTACAAATGAGCAGGTACTTTTCCAAGTCTTCCTTTTTTTTGGACATCCACTATATGTTATATCCTGTGATCAATCAAGGTATCTAATGGTCTTATTTTGACTTCATACGTTTTGTAACAGATGGATGAAAACATAGCCAGGTTACTGGAACAAGAAGAGAATTCTCTCCGTGCTTCTTCTAGTCGTTCTAATCGTAATACCCAGAGCTATAATACCGTAAGTGATGAACACTAAATTCTCCTGTGTTAGCGTTTTTTTTCTACCGGGTTCTATCGATTTTCTGTGTTCAGATGTGCGACGTATCATTATCAAACATTGATGTGTTCTTTCTTAAACTTGCTCTTTAAAAGAATCTGGCTTTAGGATCATCTTGAATATCTTAACCCGTTGCTTAATGCCAATGGATATTATTACAGATGCCAATCCCAGGTTTAAGAAGTCACTTGGAAGCACGACAGCAACAACCTTCCCCAAGTAGGCGGTTTAATCCTCCACAGGCTCGTGTTTCTGTTAGAGCACCACCTCGAGGCAGAGGTCAGCGTCTAGGCCGTGCATCTGCTTCACTACACAGATCGTTGAATCTCAATTTTCCAAATGATATGGACGTAGAATCGGTACACTTTTTAACTCTGTGTATATACCAAATGTTGCGTGAAATTAAAATTAATCCGTCCCCCATTTTTAATGTAACAGAGATTGAATTTTCTAGAGGAACTAGAGAATGTTATTGGGCATTCCGTTAATAATAGCAATCTTCTTCATATGGATCGTGATTTTACCGAGTATGGTATCTTTTTGGTGCTTGTATTTTCTTAATCATCATTTTACTATGATTCTTAAATTTACGGAGATTGATCTTTTAACATATTTTCGATGCAGAGATGACTACGAGTTGCTGCTAGCTCTTGATGATAACAATCATCGACATGGCGGCGCTTCTACTCATCGCATTAACAACTTGCCACAGTCCACGGTTCAAGTAAGTTATGGTTCGCTGGTAAAATCCATTTTTTTCATAAATGACATGTTGTGATCAAGTCTTTCTCTTTGGTGTTTATGTGTGGTATTTGCAGAATGATAATTATCAAGAAACTTGTGTTATTTGTCTGGAAACACCGACGATTGGAGACACTATTCGTCATCTTCCTTGTTTGCACAAATTCCACAAAGATGTAAGTATCTTCATCACTGATTCTAATCAAAACCCTTTTTCAGATTAGAAAATTAAAAATCAAACCATTTTTTGTGTGTTAATAAATGTATTGCGCAGTGCATTGATCCATGGCTTGGACGGAGTAAATCGTGCCCGGTTTGCAAATCCTCCGTCACTTAAACCGGTTTACAAATTTACCATTTTACCCTTCCGAATCGGTGAATACGGGAATATTCTCTCTCTGGTAAGCCAACATTCTTCTCCGTTGAATTTGAACTCATAAAACGGATTTTTACCACCGTTTTACGCGCGAGAGAGTGCTTTGTGTCATTTGTGATTTATTTTGTTGGGTTTTTTACATTTCAAGCTAAGAACTGTTTGTAGATTAAGTAGTTGAATTTAATTATTATTAATTTAGAATTAACCTCATTTAAACCATTTACTTTTATACATACTTGAAACACGACGTCTCTTCTCTCCACAAGTCTTCGTTGTACTAACTGATACTAATATGATTATACAATTTCAATAGTCAAAATATTTTTTAAAAATCTGATCTTACTGTGAGCAATGAATGCATCACATATATCGAGTGTTATCATATGATCGTCGTATTCACTTTATTTACTCGAAGTAACAAGACACACACACACAAAATCATTTCAAAGAGGAAAACAGCATACGTTTGACAAACTAAAAAGAAACGACATACACATTTCTTTATATTTTATTACATCATAATTAAACTTTAGTGAATTAGTTATTCTTAAATGACAACATACAAACCCTCATGGGAACTATAGCTCCTTGTCAATCAACAGAACAGTTTAACAAACCCTCAGTGACCTCCACCGCCGATTCCGGCATCGGGGGCACCGCCAACAACTCCACCACCGGGTAGTGCAACTCCACCGGCTCCACCACCGGGCAGTGCAGCTCCAGCGCCGGGCAGTGCGGCTCCAGCGCCGGGCAGTGCAGCTCCACCGGCTCCACCACCAACTCCCCCACCAGCACCACCGCCAACTCCACCACCGGTACCACCACCGCCACCGACTCCTCCTCCCCCTCCAGCTCCACCACCACCACCAAATCCACCGCCTATTCCTCCTCCAAAGCCACCAATTCCGCCTCCAATCCAACCGCCACCACCTCCTGCTCCAAAGCCGCCACCACCACCTAGACCGCCGCCGCCTAAACCGCCAAAGTCTTTCTTAACGCCCTTCTTGTGGATGCCACCTTTGTGGAGCAATGGACGAGGGTGAGGAAACAAGTGCTTGTCATCACCAAACTCTGTTTCTCCCACTGTGAAATCTGTTACCATAGCAAACACCAAAACAAACACACACGCTTTACGGGAGATTAAACCCATAACTGTTGGAAAAATCAAATGTTTGTAGTTAGATATATGGAAATTAATGAAAGAGAGGATATATATGTTTTCTTATGAGATTGCTTGTTGCATGAGTAGTAGTATATATAGAGAGATTTGGAGAGGGATCGTGATAGAACTTTTAATGTGCATAGGGCACCTGTACGTAGACTAAATAAACCGGATCAGTTGGTTTACTTATTGCAAGAGATATATCAGAGATTTAGTTTGACATATTATAGAAGTCAAAAGAATCGATAGGTATGTTTGCATGTATTTAGTTTGGAATTTAACCGCGAGGAAATGTCAAGAAACCGGTATGGAGTTAACCAAGATCGGCCCGGTTCAACTTGTAATTGCTTTTGAGTAACAATTTAATGATGTTCCAACGGTCAGTGGACAAGTTATTTACGTATTGCCTGCCCAACTGCCCTATTAATCTCACCCAGCACAAAAAGGAACAATATGATGTAAATATAGTTGAAGAATTGGGGAACGTATGACACCAATTATTATATACCCAATTCATTGAGTTATGTTGATTATGCATTCATTTCTTTGTTTAGTTTAGATCAAAAATTTTGATTCGTTTTACCAAAAAAAAAAAAATTTTGATTCGAAGGTTGTAGAAGTTTTTAAGGCAACTACAACGAGAATCAGAGGCCGAAATTGAGTTTTTGCGTGTGTGTCTAATTTGCATATAGAAAGTAATTCAATTTGATAAAAGATGTTGGCTAATTTTGTTCACTTTATCTTTGGAGGACATGCCATGTCAATTTATGGAATATTGAAAGTATTTATTTAAACCCTAAAATGTGATTTCATTAATTTGTGAGGTATTTGGCCTTTTAGGTGTGTCATCATCAATCAATGATGCAAACCAGAAATTCATATGATTATTTTCCAAAAGAACAAAGAGTTTCTTTTTTTCCTTGAAATTTTTTAAGAGACTATGCGTCGACGACATTTGTATAGCTCGCGTGGGGAGCACAAGTTTTATATCAGGATGCTTCTTGTAAGAAACTAAAATCATAGGGACCTGTAACGAAATATACAGAACATCAGGGGGAAAAGTGTAAGGATAATATTGAGTAGGGAGCATTGCTTAATTGTTTTACATTACGGATAAGTATCTTAAAATTCGATAAATTAAGATTTTTCAGTTTATGATGATTCGTTTTGTTTCCCTCTCTCTTCCTTTCTCACAGTCTCTCTAATTCCGTTGTTCGTCCTCCGATTACTTATTTTTCTTCTGCCGGTAGGGTTTTCACTTCCGATTAGGGTTCTTCTTCTTCGTCATGGTTAGTTCGGCGGGTAGTTTACTGGCAATGCTTAACGAAACCCATCCTTCCTTGGAAACATCTCAACAGATTCGTTCATCAATTTTGGCCACAGATCTTCGATAGTGTGTCCCACAATCTTGTATTTTTTTTTCTCTCAATTTTTGTTGTTGTGCTAAACCCTCTCAATTTGTTTCTTAGGGTTTTTTTTTTTTATAGTAGTTGTTCTTGATTAGGGTATTTAAGCTCCAAAATCTGTGTCAGTCATGACAGTTGCGGATGGTTGGGATAGGAAAGGAGAAGTTTTAGGTTATGAATCACTATCTTTAGAGAGTTTCTGCAGTGAATTGTATAGATTCTGAGTGACCCATTGTTATCTGCGTTAAGGGGATAGTTGTTTTATGTCACACAGAGTTATTCTTGCTCACGAGCTTGAGATCTTACAGTGATGACTCATAGACATTTTTTATTGGTTCTGTAGAGAGAGCTTATATGAAGAAGATGAAAGTTTTGATCAGCATCTAAGACGGCTTGCTGCATTGCTGGTCTCTAAGGTACAGTTTAACTTTCATGTTAGTGGAGGAAGGAGTACATGTTAGTAGAAGTTCATTTTTTTATAATCAAGTTATGTGATCATATTATGAGATTTGTTTATTCATGATGATTGTTATATCTTGCTTCAGGTTTTCTATTACTTGGGGGAGCTTAGCGATTCGTTGTGTTATGCCCTTGGAGCTGGATCTTTGTTTGATGTGCTGGATGAATCTGATTATGTTCATACTCTTCTTAGGTAGGGATTGTGAAGCCTGTGGCTATGCTCTCCTTTTTTCTTCACAGATCTGTGATAGACAGTAGCTCGTATATGTATAATATATATAAAGTCAAGGACATACCAACCTGATTAATAAGGAAATAGCCTGCACCACATATTGTCTAACCAATAAGACTTGCATATCCATCTTTCTTTTAATAAGATTTGTCTCTGAGATAAGATAGTTATCTGACCGTTAATGACTGTTTGATGTTGAATGTCTACTGATCAGATGCTTCTGTTGTGTTTTCAGCCAAAGCAATAGATGAGTATGCTATTCTCAGATCCAAGGCAGCCGAGTCAACGGAGGTGGTGGACATTGACCGCAGACTGGAGGCTATTGTTGAACGAATGTTGGACAAGTATGAGACGCCCATTTTGTTTATTTCCTGTATTCTTAGTTGTTCAGTCCTTACATGCTTTTCTGTTTTACAGATGTATCAGTGATGGAATGTATCAGCAAGCCATGGGCATTGCTATAGAATACAGGAGACTGGATAAGTAGAAAGAAACTATAACAAGGAGCGAAAATGTTAAGGGAAGTTTATCTTACTGCATCAACGTTACTCGCCCTTTTATTAACCGCAGAGAATATAGACATGAGGTGAGTCTGGTGGCCTCAGAACCGTATTTCAACATATGTTATATGTTTCTGATACAATTGGCTGATTAGAATCCGCCTTCCTTTATCTTGCCTTGCAAATGTTATGGTCATGTAGCCCCTCTATTGTTTCTTCTCAAGCATGATCGTAATATCATGCATGCTAGCATTCTTTTGTCTTTAGCTGCAACTAAGAATCCTGTTCTAGTTTGTCGTGTCATAAACTCAAATTCTGTTCGAGTTGATTTAATTTAATCTTGATTTAGAAATGCTAACATCCTCGTTTTATTTGGTTCATGCAGGTTCTTCAGTTACTTGTAAATGTCTACTGGCAACATCACCATTCGACAAAACTGTTAAAATCTAGGATACTTCCGAGGTTATATTTATGTGCCTTGTATTTTCTTTTGCTTTCAGGTTTCTGTTGAGACTAATTGGAATGAATTTGTGCAGCCTGGTTACTACTGCCTACGAACAGTGGCTGGTCATACTGCACCTGTGATGTCCCTTGATCTTGTGATAGCAACAGTTACTGGAACAGCGACACTGAGACAGATGATCCTGTTGCTGTTTCCAAGGCAAGCTCCACAACTTGCTTTTTTTTTAACCATTCTTCACCTTTGAGCTCTGTTTTCAAATCTTCAAACTTTCCCAGCAGGGAGAAGCGAGCATGCAGGTCCGGTTCCAGCCAGGAGATGGAAAAGTTCTTGCTGCAGCTGTAAAAAAAACCAAGGGACATGACTTTGCACCCATGAGTTTTAGTTCCAATGGTAAACACAGGTTCCACTCCTGTGGTTGTTCACCCGCACTATCACTATCTTTTGGTCATTGGTGACGACAAGGTAAATCAATTCTCTCAGTTCACACGATTCACCTCAAAATATCTGATTGAATCATCTGTTAACTATTCGTTTTCTAACCATTAGAATCTATCATCTCAAAGTGCAGTTTACTCACAAGTCATCTAACTTTGGTAACAAATCTGTTGACAGTCATTGGAGCTGTGGAACACGTTTATGAACAAACGCATGAATGTACCGGCTCATGAATCCGCCATCTCTGCTCTTGCTATGTCGTCTTCAACAAAAATTATAGCGTCCGCTAGCCACGAAAAGTCTCTAAAGTTTTGGACATAAATCAACCAGATACTTTAGGCATTGGTTATTTGATCATACAAAACAAAGGTGTACATTAATAGATCACAAAGATACTAAGGAGAATTCATCTCAAAAAAACACTTTACTTAAAACATAATCTCAAAACTCCCCTCCCATTAAAATAAATTTCTGTTTGAATTAATTTTAATCCGAAAATAGGTAAGTTACCTTCTTACCCTAGTCAAAACTTAAAAATTACACCTTATACCCGGGTTTTATCCGTCCAACCCGAGAAATCGGATCGACCTGCGAATGACCTGAGAATCTCAATCAAATCCCTAAAAATCAAATCAGAAGACAAATTGGACTCTTCAAGCAAACCCTTATACAACTTAGTAGGAGACAAGTACAGGATGACTTACATTCGACGATGATGATGCCGAGAGGAAGGTTTCGACTTTCGAGTTTTCTCTTCACTGGAAAATTTATTTTAGAATTCTACAGAGTTTCTTCTCTTTATTGGCATATATATACACACTTCAAAGGCCCAAATTGATATACCCATTATTTGGTTTGGTACTTGGGATTTTGTTGGATCAATTACGCACATATAGAATATTGGCCTCTTCTCATATTAGTAATGATGGTAATTTAACTTAAAACAAAAAAACAAAAAGAACATCTGAAATAAGATGAATGCCGCATGAATTTTTTTGGACAAAGTAGTAAAACAGAGGATCCACCAATTCTTACATATGGATTCTCGACTTCCAAAACAAAGTGAACTCTTCTCTTCTCATATTAGTAATTAGGGTTTTGAGATTGAGAAGAAAGAGAGAAAGAGTCTCTTTATAAACTCAAACGAAGTGACTCT